GATCCTTCCAGTCAATCTATATCAGTTTTTCGTCATATCTTTCTCTCGAAAGGTGATCTAAAGAGTCTTTGTATTTAACTTCTCTGGTTTTTCTTTCGTTTTGGTCATGGAGGTCAAAGCGTAAATGTTATAAATAGAACATATGATTCTCATTTCACAGTCAGCAGAAAGCCGTAAATACCCGTATGTAAACAAAGGAAGAGAAAACTATTACTACGAGAAATTAGGAACTATTTGCAGGTGACCTGAGGTACTAGCTAGCTAGGCGTATGTTTCATCCTTCTGCAAGTAAATTTGTGACAGACTCCTAGACTTGCAATTGACTTTGTATGAAAGTCCACGGGGGGAAATTGCTTACTTTCGTTTCATCATCTTTCCAGGTAATTCACACACAGACGTTATTTTCAAAAAGGAGGCCTTTTGTACTGCATTAATTGTGTTATCAAAGCAAGGAAGTAAAGTCCCAATGGTAAGTTAAGACAAAATAGATCTGTTGCAGGGAATTGATTCGAGTTTCCAGTTCAAAATGTAACTTTTTTTTCTGTATGTGTTTTTGTTTGATTGATCGAAGAATATTTTGCTAGTTTTTAAATACACAAAAATCTAAATCAGTTTATATTTTTTTTTAAAACCGAAGTATATCAATATCAATAATAAGTGTCTTTGAGAATTATAGCAGCAGCCCACGATCAAAGACAAGTCACGATCTGCGAAATTGTCTATACTCTATACATAAAAGGAAAACTTGGAAAAATAATAAAAAACGATTGATCCTTACGAAAGTGTGGTACATAATTATATTTTATTTCAGTTTTCGAAAAGATTGTATTCGGCAAAATTTATATTTCTATGGACTTGATTTAAAAATATCAGCGTCACCTATATGGGATAGATATCTTCATGTATATATATTTTTTCGTCCGTCGTCGTGCGTCGTCCGTCGTACGTCGTGTGTTAACATTTGAACATTTTCAGCTTCTTCTCTGAAACTGCTGAACCAATTTCAGCCAATTTTTGCATATGGTATCTATGTGTGAAGGGAAACAAAATTTGTGAATTTCATGGTCCCTGCCCCCCTGGGACCTGAGGGGTGAGGCTAAAACCATCAAAATTAATGCAATCTTTAAAAATCTTCTTCTTTACTCCTGGACATCAAGCAGTCAAACTGTTGACATGATTGTAATAAGCATTGAGCCCTCTACTAAAATTGTGAAATTCATGGCCCCAGGGTCAGGGGTTCTGGTGCTAGGGCGGGGCTATATAGATCGTATAGTGAAAGTGCATTATTTCCTTGAAAATCTTCTTCTCTACTCCTGGGTATTATTGAAACAAATTGAATACATGGTTATGATAATCAAGGGTGACTCTACCAAAATTGTAAAATTCATGGCCCCTGGGTCAGGGGCTCTGGTGCTAGGGTGGGGCTATATAGATCGTATAGTGAAAGTGCATTATTTCTTTGAAAATCTTCTTCTCTACTCCTGGGTATTATTTAAACAAATTAAATATTACATAGTTATGATGAGCATGAGTGAATCTACCAAAATTGTGAAATTCATAGCTTCAGGATTAGGGGTTCTGGTGCTAGGACGGGGCTATATAGATCATATAGTGAAAGTGCATTATTTCTTTGAAAATCTTCTTCTCTACTCCTGGGTATTATTTAAACAAATTAAATACATAGTTATGATAAGCAAGAGTTACTCTACCAAAATTGTAAATTTCATGGCCCCTGGATCAGGGGTTCTGATGTTAGGGCGGGGCTCTATTTATTATATAGTGAAAATGCATTAATGCTTTAAAAATCTTCTTCTCTGCTTCTGGGTATTATTTAAACAAACTAAGTACATTGTTATAATAAGCAAGGACACCTCTTCCAAAATTATGAAATTCATGGCCCCAGGGACAGGGGTTCTGGTGCTAGGGTGGGGCTATATAGCTCCTACAGTGAAGGTGAATTATTTCTTTGAAAATCTTCTTCTCTGCCCCTGGGTACTATTTAAACAAACTAAGTACATTGTTATGATACGCAAGGATGCCTCTTCTAAAATTGTGAATTTCATGGCCCCAGGGTCAAGGGTTCTGGTCAAATGGGGGGGGGGGGTTCTATTAATTATGTAGTGAAAAATCAAAATTTCTTTGAAAACATTCTTTTCTGCTTCTGGTTAAAAAGCAGAGAAGCTAAGTATACAGTTATGATGAGCAAGAGTGCTTCTTCCAAAGTAGTGAATTGCATGACCCCTGGGTCAGATGTGCTGTTATAAGGGTGCGGCTGTTGATAATGTAGTGAAAATGCATTATTTCTATTAAATAATCCTGTTTGCTCCTTAATGTTAACCAGTTAAACAAAGTGATTACTTATGATGAGCAAACTTGAAACTTCTGGTCCCAGGGTGAGAGGCTGTGGTGTTTCTCGGTGGTGAAGGGGGGGGGGGGCTCTATTGATAATATAGTGAATCTGTAGTGAAAATGCATTATTTCTTTAAAAATCTTCTCTGCACTTGGGCATATCAGAGGCAAAAAGTGTAAAAGTTGTAATAAGGAAGGGTATTTTTACCAGATTTTTGAACATCTGGACCATTTGGTCAAGTGTTCTGGTCCTAGCCAGGGCTCAATTAATTTGCATTCTACTGAGAGGAGTTATTCCCCTTTGCCGTTTACTTTTGATAATTAATCACTGTAAATAATGTACTTGAAAAATTAATAGAATAAGAGTATTATGCAAGAATTTTAATTGTATAATACAAAAAGTATTTTCATAGTTTTAATGATCACGTAGACTTGTAAGTAATAAATAAATAAAAATGAGACAAAAATAACTTGTCTTATTAAATGTTCATCAAAGACCAAGAGAGGCCAATGTAAGAGATTACAACAAGGAATTAAAATAGTACAAAAGCACTGATAGTTTGTTAATATACTGTATGGTGATAGTGATATATTGTGAACAGATTAGAACCTAATTTATGAACTGTTAATGAACAGTAGACTAATTATTTTGTTGATCCTGATCACCCTATTTTTCTTGCTTTTGGGCAACAAAGCTTCACCTTTCATTTCATTTTAATACTCTATGGATCCTCTAAATTGTTGTATTGTACTCAGGTGACCGTTAAGGCCCTTGGGCCTCTTGTTTATTAAATCAGTGTGTAGCAGAACAAATCGATCGGCATTACGTATTTATAAAAGTCTTTAAACTCAACAAATGCCAGTGATGTAAATGGAATTTGACATCGATCAAATATACCCCATTCAGAGAACAGTGCAAACCAGTACATCTGCATAGGTAAACATAAATTTTACAATACAAGTTTATCAACGAAAGGTAAGCATGATTACATATCAATAAGGTAAAAATAGCGCATAAGACTTTTTTCCTCTTTTTTTCTGGTTAAAGGCAGGCCACTCATTTTACAAACATTTATTTTTTTAGCTCACCTGAGCCGAAGGCTCAAGTGAGCTTTTCTGATCACATTTTGTCTGTAGTCCGTCTGTCCGTAAACTTTTCACATTTTCGACTTCTTCTCCAGAACCACTGGGCCAATTTCAACCAAACTTGCCACAAAGTATCCTTGGGTAAAGGGGATTCAAGTTTGTTCAAATGAAGGACCACGCCTTCTTTCAAGGGGAGATAATTATGAATTCTTGAAAAATTAATGGCATCATTAAAAAAATCTTCTTCTCAAGAACCACTGTGCTTGAAAATATGAAACTTATGTGGAAGCATCCTCAGGTAGTGTAGATTCAAATTTGTTCAAATCATGACCCCCGGGGGTCGGGTGGGGCCACAATGGGCGATCAAAATTTTACATAGGAATATATAGGAAAAATCTTTAAAAATCTTCTCAAGAACAGCAAAGCCATGATTGGTCATATTTACATGGAAGCATCCTCAGGTAGTGTAGATTCAAGATTTTCAAATCATGACCCACGGTTGTCGGGTGGGGCCACAATGGGCGATCAAAGTTTTAGATAGGAATATATAGGAAATATCTTTAAAAATCTTTTCTCAAGAACAGCAAAGCCATGATTAGTCATATTTATATGGTAGCATCCTCAGGTAGTGTAGATTCAAATTTGTTCAGATCATCACCCCCAGCGGTCGGGTGGGGCCACAATGGACGATCAAAATTTAACATAGGAATATATAGGAAAAATCTTTAAAAATCTTCAACTCAAGAACAGCAAAGCCATGATTGGTCATATTTACATGGAAGCATCCTCAGATAGTGTACATTCCAATTTGTTCAAATCATGACCCCCGGAGATAGGGTGGGGTCATAATGGGCGATCAAAGTTTTACATAGGAATACATAGTAAAAATCTTTAAAAATAAACTATTTCTTAAAAACAGCAAAGCCATGATTGGTCATATTTATATGGAAGCATTCTTAGATAGTGTAGATTCAAGTTTGTTCAAACATGAACCCTGGGGGTCGGGTGGGCCACAATGGGTGATCAAAGTTTTACATAGGAATACATAGGAAAAATCTTTAAAAATCTTCTACTCAAGAACAGAAAATCCATGATGGTCATATTTAAATGGAACCATCCTCAGGTAATGTAGATTCAAATTTGTTCAATCCCCCCCCCCGAACCACTTTTAAACTTTTCAACCTTTCAAGACTAAACTGATTTCTGCATTTCCTAGCCATTATGCTCAGGTGAGTGATGTGGCCCCTGGGCCTCTTTTTTAGACATTATGAAAATATTATAGATTTTAGATTTATGCTGTATATTAAATTAAACCATATGCAATTTAATATTGTTATGGGATTTCTCAGTAATGCACTATGCAGTGACAATATATTGTATGTATTTAAAAGAGGAACGGCAAACATTTACACTTTTTAAGATCAAATTTAAGGATGTGAGCTTCAATGGGGGTGGGGGGGGGTGGGGGGGGGGGGTGTTGATCTGCTTATTGTTTCGCTTGTTTACTTTAAATTTGTAGATATTGAAGAGAATTTGGGAGAGACGTCTATTTTCTAAAATTCCTTAAATGTTTATGGTAACGAAGATCTGATAATGGAAGACATTAAGAACTTAGAAAAGGAAGCACAGTGTGCTCTTTTTCGCAATGACAATAAATGTGCCCTAGCAAAATACAATGAATGTTTACTACTGTGTGAACAACATAACTTGCGGGAAGATTTTAAGAGAATATTTGGTTTCAAAGTAATATTAGCAACCCTAGTGCAACAACAAGAGGAGGCTCTTTATGATTCTATAAAATATGTCATGCTTGAAAATCACACCGAAGAGGTTAGTTTTATTTCTGAAGATGTTTTCAATTTTTAGTACTTTATGTAAAGTACATTTCATAATTAAAATTGAATTTAACCACTATACATACGGTTCTTACTTTTGATATTAAGATTTCTGCATCATAAAAACAGATCTAGAATGGCTTTAATTTTTTATGGTCAAAGCCGATACGGATTTTTAAAAATGCATTTAATATAAATCTGTAGTTTTGTAAACAGGGACACAATTTTTTCAAGTTTATTTTATAAAGAAGAAATGGGTTCCTCTAATCATATATTTTGCTTACTTTTCCTTTTATAATTTGAGCAGTTACATATATCCTGTTTTTGCTCAAGTCCTGAGATACATATGATAATATAATATAATTATATTAAATTCATGCATTTTCTTCAGGGGTTTTGGTGTGCATCTAATGCAATGAAAAAACTGGAGAAATTCGATAAAGCTTTGGAATATCTTATTCAAGGATACTTGGGCGCAGTTGAGCCATGTCTATTTTTAATAAAAATAGTGCATATTCTAGTTGCTCATCGGTCACCAAAAGGTATATTTTTATGTCATGTAACAGATAATATAAATCAATCAAAACTGATTACATTTACAACTGCCAAGTTTTGTTTAACAATCTGTATCTAACAATTGCATATATATGATAATATTAGTGTACATAAAATATATGATGATTCATCATGCATGTATAAGTGATCCGATAACTTACGTTACTAATCCTATAAAAATTATTTCACTTTTGTTATCTAAGGTATCAGTTATCATGTACATAAGATATATTATGAAATATTTATTATCAAATAAACATACCTCATAAACTGATATTTGCGATATTTCCAGCCAATTGTTAAACATGACAGTGCTCGATATTTTGAAACAAACTTAATTTTGTAATTAGGACATCAGAGTCATTTGCAATGTAGGAAACCTATTGCTTTCTGTTTTCGTCCGTTGTCGTGCATTGTCCTTTAACGTCACAACATTTTCAGTTCCTTCGATCTCTGGATAAACAGAAGAAAATCAAATTTAATAAATGTTGGTATATAGCCTCTATGGACACACAAAAACAAATTTTGTGAATTGCTGTGCCACCTCCTCTTCCAGTGGTCTGAGTGGAGCCATATTGAAACATAATTTGCTTAAACTATTGACATTACATGTATTATAATAAGAAATAAAGCCTTTTCAAAAACTGTGAAATTCATGACCCATGCATCATGGTGGGTTTTAAGCTAACCTGAGCCGAAGGCTCAAGTGGGCTTTTCTGATCAAAGAGTGGCTGGCGTCGTCTGTCGTCTGTAAACTTTTCACATTTCGACTTCTTTTCAAGAACTACTGGACCAATTTCAACCACACTTGGCACAAAGCATCCTTGGGTGAAGAGAATTCAAGTTTGTTCACAGGAAGTGCCGTGCCCTCTTTCAAGGAGAGATGATTTAGAATTCGTGAAAATTTGATAGCATCTTTTAAAAATCTTCTTCTCGAGAACCACTAGGAAAGAAAATAGGAAATTTATGTGAAAGCGTCATTACATAATCTAGATTCAAATTTTTACATATCATAATCCCCTGGAGTAGAGCGGGGCCACAAGGAGGGTCAAAGTTTTACATAGTAATACATAAGAAATGTCTTTAAAAATATTTTTCTTGAGAACAGCAAAGCCATGATTAGTAATAATATTACAGAAGTATCCTCAGGTAGTGTAGATTCAAGTTTGTTCCAATCATGACCCCTGGGGTAGGGCAGGGCCACAACAGGGGTTCAAAGTTTACCATAGGAATATGTAGGAAATATTTTAAAAAATCTTCTTCTCAATAACAGCCAAGTCATTATTAGACATATTAATATAGAAGTATCCTCAGGTAGTGTAGATTAAAGTTTGTTCAAATCATGACCCCTGGAGGTAGGGCGGGGCCACAACAGTGGGTCAAGGTTTACATAGGAATATATAGGTGTAATGGTTAAGGGGCATTTGAGTAAAACACATTGAAGACTTCAAATAGTGGAATGACCTGACAACCCTGGGAATGGACTAGCCTAAGGGTATATAAGGCAAAGTGTTCAGAAAGTCAGGCATTCAGAAGGTAGCTGTAGAATTTGGATGATGAATCAGCATTAATAAAGTTAAGGTATTCCATCCTAACAGCAAAAGATTCAATGAAATTGACTACATAACAGATGTTAGGTGTTGAATACTCAGTACATTTAGACATAATTCCCATTTATTACTATTAGCATGTAAAGGTGGGATGTGTCCTAATTTATGACCTTGAAATTTGGTAAGAGTTATCTCCTTCTGTTTTAATTTAATAAAAAAAAAAATCAATTTAAAAAACTCTTCTGCTTAAAAAATCATTTTAATTGTCATTCTATTTCAAATGTGTTTTAGTACATTTTTCAACTACAGTATTCATTGATGTTTTTCTTTTTGAATTTTTTTTTTAAATGCTCCATAGACTTCAATGCAATCTTTGTTAAGTACTTAATGCTTAGTTAATTACATTTTTGAAACTTTCTCTCAGTAAATCCTTTACTACTGTAAAATGCTTTAACTCAATTTCAGAGTATTATGTATGCGATGGATATTTAAGGATAGAGGATGGAAAACCTTAAGGATAAGAGCAAAATGAAAGTATAAAAGTTATAAATATAAGTTATGAAATACTTATGTGCTTCCTCAAGTATCTTAGAGAATTGATGTTTAGCTCTTGGTTTAGTAAATCTGAAGAAAATTGAGAAAACTGGGTCCTATCTATCAATGGGAACCTAGGGTAGAAACACGGTGCAAGTAGTACCTTATCCAGTCCCCATCTCTAGATAAGAGAAAATTTAAGTACTGTGTGATATACCCTCAGACAGAGCTGTCTTAATAATCATTACAATCAATAACTAAGAAAGAGTAAAATGAAAACCTATATATCCCTTGCAAGAACCTGACCATACCATTACATAGGAAATATCTTTGAAATCTTCTTCTCAAGAACAACTAAGCCATTATTAGTCATATTTATACAGAAGCATCCTTAGGTATAGTTGAATCAAGTGTGTTCAAATAATGACCCCTCAGGGGTTGGGGGCACAACAGAGGGTCAAAGTTTTGCAAAAAATATATATAGGAATCAACTTGAAAAAATCTTTTGCACAAGAACAACATAACCATGATTAGTCATATTGATATAGAAGCATCCTCAGGTAGTGTAGTTTCAAATTTGTTCAAATTTACGTTAGGTAGGTTGGGGCTACAATGATAAATCAGAGTTTTACATAGGAATACATAGGGGGAAAATCTTTAAAATTCTTCTGTTTAAGATCATAGAGAGAAAATGCATATTTTTTTTAAAAAACCATCCCTGCTTCTTGTTAAAAAATAGAAAACCAACTGCATGTTGATGATCAGCATTGGATCCTCTGCCAAAACTGTGAAATTCATAGCTCCTGCTAAGAGGTTATGAAGTTCAGGCAAGGTCCAAGGGAACATATAGTTAATGGTTAAAATGCATTTATTCTTCAAAAATAATTTTTCTGTTCTTCTGGCATGGGTATTTAGCAAACTCAATGCATGGGTATGATGAGCTTGGGTTCTGCTGTCAAATTATTTAATTCGTGGCTTCATGATAGGGTTTCCGGAGTTTTGGGCAAAGATATAGACCTATTGCTTACATAGTAAAAATGTTTAAATTTTATCAAAACTTCTAAGTAAACAAATAAATTGCCTGGTTATGATAAGAAAAGGTGCCTCTTTTAAGATCATAAGATTTACGGTCCCTAGGTTATTGTTTCTTGTGTTGGGTGGTGTCTCTTCATCAGATACATGTAGTAAGATGAGAGTGCATAAATTCTTTGAAAATCTTTGAAAATAATCTTCTCTGCTCCTGGAAAATTGGCAGTCAAACTAAATGCATGGCTATAAGAGCAGGAGTGGAACAATCTACCTTCTTGATTTTTGTTGAATACCAGACTATCTAATTTTATTGGAACTTATCATAGCATTCTTTTTGTTTTGTGCAACAACTAAATCCATCAGTTTCTTTGTTTTATAATATTATTATAAAATCATTATTCCATATTATGGATCGTTAAACGGTTGTATGGTACCCAGGTGACCGTTAAGGTCCTTAGACTTCTTGTTTATTGATAAGGTACATATACCAATACAAGCCTCTCTCTCTCTCTCTCTCTCTCTCTCTCTCTCTCTCTCTCTCTCTCTCTCTGTGTGTGTGTGTGTGTGTGTGTGTGTATGTGTGTGTATGTGTGCGAACCTGTTATTTTCCTCATCTAAATTTCTTTACTGTTTTAATATTTAAAGCAATGTATATTCGGTGAAACTTTTAACACTTAAATGCTTGTTTTAGAAAAACAATTTTTATCGGATACACTTAAGCAATACACACATTTAACTGCGGGCTCTGTAGAATTACAAACAGCTGTTGTTCAGAAATTAGCCGAGGAGAATTGCTGGGAAGGCGTTAGTTTATTGGTCACTGGGATACACGACGGACCAGTAAGTAGCCTAGATAAATCTGCATCAAACTGTTCCGCACAGAAAGTACCAGTTGGAAAGCTTTTGGGGGATGTGTCTACAGAAAGTTTGAAACATTATGGGATAGAACTTGCAAAGGTATTGCTTGAAAATGGAGCATCTGTGCAGGGAATAGAGAAATATTTGAAAATACCAATAGTACATGTAGGAGTGAAGATTGCATTAGAAACAGGTAAGAGGTTATAAATTTGATTGGACATTCGAATTCTATAAAAAATTGTGCATCATGTTCTTAAAAAAAGAAATATAACAGACAGATTCTTTTATACTATGAGCGTTAATTTGAAATGATAATTACACAATATCTTTCACTATCACTTTAAAAGGAGCCGTTCCATGCGAAAAGGGCCCTTATATATTTTGACGTCATAATAAGAAAAACGCTAGTAAAGATAACATCATAAAATGCTTATATTTTTTCAACATTTTTACCTGAGCTCTATCACCTTATTTTCATTGTTGTTTATATCATTTAGAGCCACTAAAATATCAGGGGGGGGGGGGGGGGAATAATGAACTTTTAGAGCTAAGTTCCATATAAATGGACATTTTTAATATTGAATATTAAATTTTGCTGATATAATCAGGTGTAGGTTTTTTTTATCCGATTTTTCATACATTGAAAGCGACTGTACATGAACATAACTGATATATATCTCTACATGTACACATCTTTTTTTACACAAATACATAGTAACCGAAGTGAAATAATTTACAATAAATGAAAAAATTCTTAAACCGTTCCCAGCATGTAGGTTTATATGTATGCGATTAAGATTTTGATCACCTCTACATGTATCAAATGAAGTTTGAAAAGGTTGTTTTTCGTAAAGCATAAACTTAATGGAGAAAACATCTGATTTTTAGCTCACCTGAGCTGAAAGCTCGAGTGAGCTTTTATGCTCACATTTTGTCTGTAGTCCGTCTGTCCGTCAGTCTAGCTGTCCGTCTGTCTGTAAACTTTTCACATTTTCGACTTCTTCTCCAGAAGCACTGGGCCAATTTCAACCAAACTTGCCACAAAGCATCCCTGGGTAAAGGAGATTTTAGTTTGTTCAAATGAAGGGCAACGCCCTCTTTCAAGGGGAGATAATCAAGAATTAGTGAAAAATTAATAGCATCTTTTAAAAATCTTCTTCTCAAGAACTAGAGGGCCAGGAAAAATGAAACTCATGGTGGAAACATCCTCAGGTAGAGTAGATTCAAGTTTGTTCAAATCACGACCCCCGGGAGTACCTGTAGGGCGGGGCCACAATGGACGATCAAAGTTTTACATAGAAATATATTGGAAAAATCTACTTCTCAAGAAAAGCAAAGTCATGATGAGTCATATTTATATGGAAGCATCCTCAGGTAGTGTAGATTCAAACTTTGATCAAATCATGACCCCCGGGGTAGGGCAGGGGCCACAATGGATGATCAAATTTTTACATAGAAATATATAGGAATAATCTTTAAAAAACTTCTCAAGAACAGCAAAGCCTTGATTGGTCATATTTATATGGAAGCATCCTCAGTTAGTGTAGATTCAAGTTTATTGAAATCATGACCCCCGGGGGTAGGTTGGGGTCACAATGGATGATCAAAGTTTTACATAGAAATATATAGGAAAATTTTCTTCTCAAGAACAGCAAAGCCTTGATTGGTTATATTTATGTGGAAGCATCCTCAGGTAGTGTAGATTCTATTTTGTTCAAATTATGACCCCGGGGCAGGAATGGGGTAATTGAAAAAAGTAATTGTAATTGACTGTAATGAATTACATTTTTTGAAGTAATTGAAAGTAATTTGTAATTGAACATTTTTTCAATTACTTGTAATTGTAATTTAATTAATTACACTGAAAAAATACCATGTAATTTCAATTACTTTTTCAATTACATTCAATTACTTTATATAATACTCATTCATGATATATTGTCACCACTACCTCCCCATTTTACTGTCTTTTATTTTACTGTAAAACATATTCTCAATCCTTCAGTTATACAAAATCGTAAGTTAATGTTTACGAGCAAATAAATGATGGACTTCATGATAATAATCTAGTTTCTTTCTAATCATTATGTAAAATTGATTTTTTTTATTTTATGTTTATCAAAATTTTGTACCACCCTTCTTAGGCCAACTTTTCATGCAGTCATGAAACACACATTTATTATATTTGAATCTTTGTTGTTGGTCAATAATAAAGAAAAGGATTGTGTGTGTCATTAATTAAGTTCTCTCTTGTTGGAAAGAGATAATTGCCCACCAAATCACAGCTGTAAATTGCAATCAAAACAAATCAACCCGGGTACTCTAAAGAAGTATTCATTCCAAGATTTAGAAGACAAAACCAATGGAGATAATTATTTCAATTAAAAATGCCCCGCTAGCTTTAGAAAAGAAAATCTTTCAATTTGATAATTATTTTAACATCTGAAGAGATGTTTAATGAATAAATTTTGTATCTGAAAAAGTTATGTTCTGTACTATTATTATTTTTGAAGTAAAAATGTTTACCATGAATAACAATTTAGGATGTTCAGGTTACTTTCAAAGGAAATATTTAATTAGAGAGTTTACAGTTGCGACTCATTTTACTCTATTAAAATACCCACTTTTAATCAAATATCATAAGCCATGCAATTTATGTACATGTAGGTTTTGCGCTTCAAACTGATCTCAGATAGTTCTTTAACGTTTAGTAAATAAAAGTTATAGATGAAACCACAAAATACACAATGCCTATATAGCTTATTATTTCTTGTATTGTTTGTGCAGAGGCTGATCTTACATACAGATGAATGATGTTCTGTATATTCATTGACAAGGATTATAAAAATTTTCAAAAAAAATTAAAAATGTAATTTGTAATTTAATCAATTACTTTTGCAAAGTAATTGTAATTTAATTAATTACACATCTTAGAAAGCCTGTAATTTAATTTTAATTTAATTGAAGAAAAAGTCAAAGTAATTGTAATTTAATTAATTACTTTTAAAGTAATTGACCCCATCCCTGCCCCGGGGGGTAGCGTGGGGCCATAATTGAGGATCAAAGTCTTAAATAGAAATATATAGGAAAGTATCTTCTTCTGAAGAACTGCAAAGCCATGATTAGTCATTTTGATACGGAAGCATCCTCAGATAGTGTAGATTCAAATATATCAAAATGATGACCCCCGGGGATAGGGTCGGGCCACAATGGAGGATCGAAAATTTTACATAAGAACATATAGCAAAATATCTTCTGAAGAACAGAAAATCATGTTTAGTCATTTTGATATGGAAGCATCCTCAGGTAGTGTAGATTCAATTTTGTTCAAATGATGACTCCTGGGATAGGGAGGAGCCACAATGGGGGATCAAATTTTTACAAAGGAATATATGGGAATTTTTTTATAAAAATCTTCTCAAGTTCAACAAAGCCATTTGTTATATTGACATAGATGCATCATCAGGTAGTTTAAAATTCAAGCCCTCCCCCCGGTAATCTTTTCAATACTGAACTGATTTGTGCTTTTGCCTAGCCAATGTACTCAGGTGAGCGATGTGGCCCATGGACCTCTTGTTTTCAAAACAATATTTATTCTGTGTGTATAAAGGCGATAAATGACGATTTACCTTCGTCGCGGTCATTTACGGGTAAATGTTTTGTTATCTCATTCAAGTAGAGAATCGTCGGTTTTTGCTGTTTACGGAGACAGCCTATCTTCTGGTTGAGCGAGACTAATGTGTTTGCTACGATACATGTGTATATTTCTTGAAATTTGAGAATAAAATCTAGTATCATTTGTTGAAGTTTTTGGATCAACCGGGGAAAAAATGAGAAAAAAGTAAATGCTGCAAACGAAAAAAAGAATGACCAGATTTTTTTTTATGCATTAATATGGGAAGATTTGACTTTGCTACAAAAATGGGGGTGGAGTTGTTAGAGGTGGGTGCAATTAGCCATGCAGAGAACATCTTCATCCTATATATCAATCAACTACCAGTGAAATATTATGTACTATGGAACCTCCCCCCCCCCCCAATACAACATACCTGCATTTAATTCCTAGTAAATAATGCATCATTATTTATAAAACCTCAAAAACATAATATGGGGAAATTAAAACTGAAAGATTAAATACAGATTTATTTCCCTGTAATATTGCATCTATTTATTATTTTAATTTCTTACAAAGATGCATTGTTTGTCTGCATTAAAGGTTACGAAATTAAATACATTTTTGTGTAGGAAGGTTTGCAATAAGTTCAGTTTTATCTTTGAATTGTTAAATGGAAAGAATGACTGCTTATTTTGTTTAATAAACCATATTTGGGCATTTCTTTAGGCATGTACGTAGCAACGTTTTTCAGAAAAAAAAGGGGGGGGGAGCTTAAAATGACAAGTTAACAATAAACAGAAAAAAATTCAAAAAAAAAAAAAAGAAAGAAAGAAAAAAAAAAGATGTGTTTGTGAAACACTGATGCCCCCGTATGGCAGCTTATGGCGAAGGTTAAAGTTTCTCAAATGGAAGTCAAAATCCAGGCCAAACGATAAAAAATGTTGATACCCAAAGAAAAGTCTTGTCTCGAGGAATATACCTGTGAAATTTGAAAGACCTAGCTGCAACTGTTCAAAAGTTATGGCGAAGGTTAAAGTTTTTTAAATAAAAGTCAAATGTCAAGGTCAAGGTCAAAGTGGTTGGTATCCAAAGGAAGATCTTGTCACAAGGATTACATATGTGAAGTATGAAAGCCCTATCACCAACCATTCAAAAGTTATGACCAAGGTTAAAGTTTTTCGAAAGTAGGTCAATCTCCTATGTCAAGGTCAAAGGGTCAAAGTGGTTGGTATCCAAAGGAAGGTCGTGTCACAAGGATTACATATGTGAAGAATGAAAGCCCTAGCACCAACTGTTCAAAAGTTATGGCCAAGGTTAAAGTTTTGCAAAAGTAGGTCAAACTCCAAGGTCAAAAGGTCAAAGTTGTTGGTATCCAAAGGAAGGTCTTATCACAAAAAATACACATGTGAAGTTTGAAACCCCAAGCATCAACTGTTCAGAAGTTATGGCCAAGGTAAAAGTCTCATAAAATTTTGCAAAAGTGGGTGAAACTCCAAGGTCAAGGTCAAAAGGTCAAATATGATGGTACCCAAAGAAAGGTCTTGTCACAAGGAATACACATGTGAAATATGAAAGCCATAGCTCCAACCAATCAAAAGTTATGGGCAAGGTTAAAGTTGACAACAGACAGACAGACAAACAGACAAACAGATAAACAGATAAACAGACAAACAGACAGACAGGACAAAAACAATACACCCCCGGGATCTTTCGATCCGGGGGCATAAAAATGTATTTTATCAGGGTTTTCCGTAATCCCTTTTCAACAAAAGAAAATTGAGCTAAAATGACAGTGCTCAGCAGTGTCGGCGATACCACAAGAGCTTACTCAGTAGATATTATACAAGAATATCCAATGCGTACAAATTTATCAGACCTCAGGTCAAAGGGCGTTTCATAGATACGGTACTTGTGCAACATATCAAAATTTTACGAGCCTGAAACGACAGGTTGTTAGTGTCAGCGAAGAAAATTTGATTTCTTTTTAAATCTGAGATAAATACTTCTATTACAGTGCAAAATTGACTCTTGAATTAATCTTAGTTTGAATATTTTAAAAAAAACATATATCCTTTTTATTAATTTAATTACAAATTTTTATTTATTCCTGGACTACAAATTACATGATTATTAGTGACACTTTCTGTATAACGGTTGTGAACTACAAAGGGACAGGCTGTAGTAGATTGCCCTCAACACTTTTTAATGCCCTATATATAAAAACATCCAAGTAATTATTTTATTTAAACTTCTTTCATGTCCATATTTTATGTAAGCTTTTCAAAGACTTTGTTATTTACTCAATACATGTCATTTTATCACTCAATTCGAGAACTCAGTCTGTTATATACCAGTTTCTGAATTGTAGGTGTCAGTTCGGAGGCCCATTACTGGCCACTTCCATCTGTGTCCCCTCGTGTATTTCTTGAATGTTGTCCATCGCTAAAAACTTTAATAAACTTGGAAAGTGATTTGCTCGTTACTTTGGATTTGTATTTATAATATGTGATTTCGGGAAGAGGCACTACTACTTCCGGCCCGCAGCGCCACTCATTTTACTGCCAGCATTCCCTCTTTCCCGATCAACGACACATCTTATTAGACCCAAACGAAGCGGTCATACATCCACAATTTTTGAGAGCCACAAAATGAATGGAAGACTATGTAGGCCTAAGCTTTTGATTTTTTTTTTTTCTTCAAACGAAATTTAGCGAAAAGGGGGGGGGGGGGGTTACATGATGAATCAGTGTGACCAAAAACAAAAAACAAAACAAAGCAAAACAAAAAAATTCAAAATATATTCTGAACTTATAATGACCGTACATGTATAAGGATATGATGATATTATGAACATTATATACTCATTCTCAGTTTTTGTGAGGTTAAATGTTCACTGCAAGACATACGAATATTGACCCGCTTATAAGTCGGAGCAGTGCAAATAGGCGGTGCAAATATTGTGACGGTTTACGCCAATATTGCAGGGAATACGACCAACTTTAAAATAATGTTTGTATGCCCTCTCAACGAAAAAAATGGGTCGGTAGATAGGTGAGAACTTCTTCCCTCCCCTCCCGAAAATTTTAATATGAATGCAGAATTTTAAGGAGTTGAGAGTCGGGCCATTTTTAGCCGCTCGAAAAGGGCATTCAAACAATTTTGACAGATGGTCTAATATGCATTATATCATAAGAAACATACATTACCCACGTGAAAGGGGGAAGGGATTGTCTCGGCATGTATTATTGCCTGTATCAATAACTACCAATGTAGGACAATTAATACATGTATGTTTACTAGTGTTGGTACATATTGCCCCCTCCCGTTTCCTCAAACTTCCTTTAATTTGTCAGAAAACCTCCTCAAACTTCATTCTTTTAAATTGTCAGAAAATTTTAACCATTTTAATTTTAACCCCCCTCCCCCTCTTGCCGATCAATTTTCTGTATCCGCCCTTTAAGCTTTCTTTCATAAATTCATCTAAGTTATGAATAATACAACAAAAATTATCCTTATGAATAAAAAGTTATCAAACAAGGAAGACGCAATGTTATCAGTCTTATCTTACAGATTCTTTTTTAAAATTAAAAAAAACCTTTTTCATAAACTACAAATAAATAAAATACAAGCCTGTAAAATATCTAAACAAATATATTTTATTTGTTTGTTTGTTTTTTTTATTTAATGTTTACTTTTCTCTGAAGCGTATAGAGCAATATTCACGTAGGCCCATAACATAACGTGGCGAGTTTATAACATTATTATTTAAAGGGACATAGGCACATATTTGAAGTTAATATTTTCTCAAATTTTCTGTATAATATCATGACTTATATGTTATTATAGCATTTCACGTGGAAATATAATAATAAAAACTTATTTTATCTGGAAATTATTGAAACTACAAATTTTGGGACGCGTTCGATTGACACATTCTTGCACTTTCACAAAGCAAGCCTTATCCTTTATACTTAAGAAAAGTAGAAATTTTGTTGTGTATTATTGAATGTTATTAATGACCAAAATGAAGATTTATGTGACAAGCAAAAATGGCAACACTCTTAAAATATACATGTAATTTTTGTCTTATACAGAGTCCAGAACACCTCTTCTTTATAAAATGAAACCGTTTCGACAACAAGTGTATAATTTAGATATACTTTAAAGTCATATATGACGTACTTTTTATTAGTTCAGACTAACTAAAATCACACAACTGAAATCAATCGCGTTTCAAAGATATAAAAAATTTAAAACAATAACCGATTTATTTACCGACTTCGAATTTAATTAACAGACAGTTTAAAATCATTTTAACTATGGAAACATGAGATTATTCAAGTTCAAAATCAATGAAAATTTTATTTTGAATGTAAATAACATATATCGTGTTTATCTACACTTAATCTCATATTTTCATTTTTTAGCTCAGATACGGCATATATATATATATAGCTTTAGCGAAAACAATTATATCAAATATTGCATGTAAAATAAAAGCGGGATGGGGGGGGGGGGGGGGGTATGCATAAATTTTTCATGTATGTTTTTGTGTGATAAAGTAAGTTTTTTTTTCAATCAAATATGTATTTCATATATTTCTGAGAGGGATATAAAAGCGTCAGTTTGAACGTCATTTCTCAACTTCATTTTAACATTTTCTTAACCTCTTATACCCTATATCTCAGTAATTATTCTGAATATTTGAATCAAACTTTATATTTGGTTATTTTACACTATAATCTATCATAATCCAGTGAAAAAAAAATTTTGAAAATTTCTACCTTACGGGGCCCTTTTCGCATGGGACGGCTCAAATGGTATCCTCAATAACTCGATTGCATCGTATTTAAAAAATCCAGAGGCATTAGCTATTATCTATTAATTCATACACCATCATACACTTATCTTCCTCTTGCAATGTATGTTTTGTCTCCAGACTGTCAACAATAAATACTGGAAAATAAATGCAATAGTGTGAAAAGGACATTCTTATGATTATATCTTCTCCGTCCCCTTTCAGAGAACATTATGTTATTGCAATGGTGTTTTGAAAATTACTTGAAAACAGAAAGGCAAAGAAATGAGACTGAGAAAGATGGAAACTCGGTTTTACACATCGTAGCAAAGGCCACTATTGGAAATGAAAAACAAGGAATAGATATTTTGAAAATTCTTCTTGAGAAGGGATGTTCACCTAATCTCTTAGATGCAGACGGAAAACAACCGATAGAATACATTACCACAGAAGATTTTCGATATCCATTATTAAATCGAGTAACAAATATTGATGGTAAGTACTTTGATTCTAAGTAGGTTAGTTTTACTCTATACCGTAAATGTAATTGGATAATTTAAATTCTGTATCATTTCCTTTTTCAGATATGTCATTTTCCTCAAGTCCAATGTCACCTGATGAAACCGAGAAAGAATCTCCAGTTGAAGACTTTGATGAAGGAAAACATGCTGTTGAAAAGGATTTTGATTTCTTTTTGCAAAAGGCTAATGAATCATTTCAACAAGGAATGCTCAAACAGGCTGTAGGTGATTATGTAAAAGCTTTAGAAGCACTTAAAAGTGCTGATGATAAGACCAAGCTCGTGAATGTTCACTGTTCCATAACTGAGTGTTACCTTGGGTTGGGGAACTTTACCACTGCTTTTGAACATGCAGCTAGTAATTTACCCGGAGATTCACTTTCATCAAAGGTAATTAAAATCTTACCAATGATCATTGCTTTTTACTATATAGCTTTCTGTCTGTCTGGAAAAAAAAATCCATTGAAATGCTGTTGAGATAAAATTAAAGCTTATAATATGTATGTTTTAGCCTTGAGTAAAATGTGTAGGATAATCTATACACACAATTTCAAGCTAAGTGAGATATACAATACTATATAGATACATTTGGAACCCTTAAGAAAGGAGGCGTACAAAGCGACGACAATCCCCCGCTCTTAAAAAAGACAGTTCTCTATTCTAAAATTTCACAAAAAGTTTCATTTTTCAAAAAATATGTAACCTTTTACATATCTGCTTCCTTTATTTTTCTGAATAAATTATTGATATATTCAATATTATATTTTTCATACGTTTTTAAGGCATGTGAAAAGAAAAAAAAGGTTCGCACATGATTCGAAATCTCTCTAAAGTCAACGTAAGGCATAAGACTTAAGACGTTAACCACTAGGCCCCGAAGTCTTCTTGTCATACGTGCGTTTCAGTGTGACTAAAATAAACGAATTTGTTGAAGAGTTTCATTTTTTCAGAAATGTTCCATATTTATATAGAAAGGGTTCAGACTCCATTTTTTGGAACGTATTAAAATAAATTTTACATTTACTTTCCATTTAACATTAATGCAGAATAGAGACTTGACCAATTCATATATATATATATATATATATATATATATATATATATATATATATATATATATATATATATATATATATATATATATATATATATATATATATATATATATATATATATTAGGGATGGCAATCGATTACAGAATTGCTAATCGGTTAACCGCAAGACGTTCCGACCGATTAACCGGTTAATCGTATCAAAATGCACGTTTTCTTGACAATTGCTTTTTAAATAGCTCTGTCCATAGACACAAATTGACCCAAATAAGACGATAGAAGTTAAAATATATTCCATTAGTCTTGATTCTGGGGTCAGAAAACTACGGGTACATATTTTTTTAAGTTCCAGTAGACAAGAAAAAATTGAGAAAACCATGAAAAAAGCCTAAGGAATCTTTGATAATTTTCCAGAGCAGATGTCACAGAATTTCTTTCTGCATTTTCACTATGATAATCAATATTACATATGAACTCTATAGCCCTTAATTTACAATGTTTGTTTAATAATTAAATTGAATTGAAAACTGAAAACGACAAACACTCCAATTCAGTGCTCAATAATTCAGTTATTATCATGAAAGAATCACAGGACAGTCGGGGTAAAGACATGGTGTTTTCACATAAATTAACACTATCCCCGGTACATTAACTAACCAATTACGCTACGGTCTCAATCTGGAGAATTCATAATTACATGTACGCCCAAATTAGATCCGTTAAATCCTAAATGATCATCCTTTCTGCAGAGATTTCTATTTTTTTTTCAATTTTTTTTAAAAATGTGTTCAATTTTGACAAATATTTTATTTTTTTTCCGATTAACCGATTACAGATTTTCTAATCGATTGCCATCGTTCCGACCGAGTAATCGGTTAACCGGTTACAAATTGCCATCCCTAATATATATATATATATATATATATATATATATATATATATATATATATATATATATATATATATATATATATATATATGCTTCAATCAACCATTATTCACTAAAATATGCTGTACTAGCAACTTCAAAAACAAATTATCAACCAATAAGTCATTGAATAAAATAAATGAATCATATGTGTTGAAGATGCCATTACATGTACATGTACTGAAAACATAATTTTAGAAAATATAACTTTTCCATGAGCCTTGAAAACTGAGAAAAATATTACCTCAGAGCGAGGGATAGTCTTCACCTTGTACGTCCTCTTTCTTTAAACGTCAATAAGTTATAGAGGATGTCTTAATTTCTAAGTACGTATTTTTGCCCTATCTATGCCTAAAATTTGCTTCTTTTTTTTTTTTTTTTTTTTTTTTTTTGGTCGAACATACAACTACTAGCTTTCCTTTATCTTTTTTTAATATAGTTTTTGTTAAAACAATCACGAACTTTAATATATTTAAATATATCTTTTTTAAATAAATCATATGAATTTGCTTTGCAAAGATTCAACTTTTACTCGGAAAGACAAAGCTTGGTGTGAACATGTATGTCGACGCTCTTGACGCATTTGCTCGTGCTGCGAACTTAGTGCATGAAGATGAACTAGAAGAAAGGGACGTGATTATTAAACATATATCCAATTGTTTAGGAAAGTGTTTCGATACAAGTATGTTTCAAAGAAAACAGAAACTATTTCTTTGGAAAACTTTATTTTTAATAATACGCATGTATTTCATAAATTGTTCATTTACATGATAAGAATTTTATGTGTTTTTTTTAAATAAATTGAAGTGTTTTAATAAAACGTTGATGTAGTTTATGAGAAAAAAAATGCTAAAAATACTACGCATTTAAGTAGAATTTAAAAAAAAGATAAGGAATGTGGTAGCAAATCTTTACACTAAAGCATTCTTACATTGTAATTTACATGTACAATAAGTTCTCTATTCTTTTCTTCTTCTTCTTTAAAGTAGTCAAATTTATATATAATTTTTATTAAAATCATATTTATAATATACTTTTCTTTCATGATTACAGAAAACTTCAGATCTTTTGATCCGATTATGGCAAGGCTTCCACTTAGTGTTAAATCCCTAATAATCATGAGGCTGATCAATGACAAAAAATGGAAGGAAGCTTTTGCGTTCTTTGACAATTTTGTGCAGTGCAAGCAGTCACTAAAGACCGGTTGCGAACGTATTGAAATAAAGTCGATCTGTAATATTGGCACCATTTCAAAACGTGCTTGGATAGCTGAATTTATCCAAATTTTGGTGGAGAATAATTTTGCTAATTTTTGTGACATTATTTTAAAAAGCAAAGAATCTTACTTGCAAGCATGTGTAAGAATAGCAGTTGCAACAGGTAATATTTTAATTTTGTTGAATAGTTCAGGTAGAAGAGCAATAGAAAAATGAAATAAATAAATATTTGAAGGGAAAATACGAAGTATAATTAAAAAAGAATGTCTAAGAAAAAAGGGACTTTGCATTTAAGGTATGTCACTCGTGATATGTGTTATATCAGGGATTTTTGGGAAGTATATTTAGGATAACTACTCATATAGAATGACTCAAAATGACAATGAAAATTGGGGGTCGGTGTGCACTTTACTGAGCAACGGTACAATTAACTTTATTGCACTTAAATTGTAGCTTTTAGGTTAATCACTTTAACCAAAGTAATATTTTACATAATGAATATAATCTAATTCTATGTCAAATATAGTTTGAATAATATTTACAATTGAAAAAATCCTGCAAATCAATGCGACCTTTTTGCAATAAAAACTATCATATTCTAAGTGTTAGAAATCTAGAAAGAAAATAAAATATTTTCTTTTATCAAGCTAATGATTTAACTGCTGATCGGTTGAATGTATCGTGTAATTTTAAAAGAATGAAAGAAAAAGTATGGATCAGTGATGTGAATTTTGAGATATTTGTCAAAATATACGACTTTCAGGCTAAAAACAATATAGATTTTATATTGACTTCTTAGATATATCTTCATTTTTAGCTCGCCTGAGCCGAAGGCTCAAGTGTGCTTTTTTTCTGATCGCTTTTTGTCCGGCGTCCGTCTGTCTGTCTGTCTGTAAACTTTTAGCATTTTCCACTTCTTCTCAAGAACCACTGGGCTAATTTCAACCAAACTTGCCACAAAGTATCCTTGGGTAAAGGGGATTCAAGTTTGTTCAAATGAAGGGCCACGCCCTCTTTCAAGGGGAGATAATAAAGAATTAGTGAAAATTAATAGCATCTTTTAAAAATCTTCTTCTCAAGAACCACGGGGCCAGGAAAGACGAAACTCATGTGGAAGCATCCTCAGGTAGTGTAGATTCAATTTTGTTCAAATCATGACCCCCGGGGGTAGGGCGGGGCCACAATGGAGGATCAAAGTTTTACATAGAAATATAAAGAAAAAATCTTTAAAAATCTTCCTCTCAAGAACAGCAAAGCCATGATGTGTCACATTTATATGGAAGCCTCCTTAGATAGTGTAGATTCAAGTTTGTTTAAATCATGACCTCCGGGGGTAGGGTGGGGCCACAATGGAGGATCAAAGTTTTACATAGAAATATAAAGGAAAAAATTTAAAAATCTTCTTCTCAGGAACAGCAAAGCCCTCATTGATCATATTTATGTGGAAGCATCCTCAGGTAGTGTGGGGCCAAAATGGAGGATCGAAGTCTTAAATAGAAATATATAGGAGCATATCTTCTGAAGAAAAACTGCAAAGCTATGATTAGTCATTTTGATATGGAAGCATCCTCAGGTAGTGTATATTCAAATGATAACCCCTGGGATAGAAAGGACCCACAATAGGGGATTAAATTTTTACAAAGGAATACATGGGAAATTTTTTTAAAATCTTCTCAAGTACAAGAAAGCCATTTGTTATATTGACATGGAAGCATAATCAGGTAGTTTAAAATTCCAACCCCAACCCCCCCCCCCCCCCCCGGTAATCTTTTCAATACTGAACTTTGTGCTTTTGCCTAGCCAATGTGCTCAGGTGAGCGATGTGGCCCATGGGCCTCTTTTTTTTTGGCAAAGTATGTTGAGTGAATGTGTAAATTTTTTTTAAATATTAATTTAAACCTATATTTAATATTCCTGGCGTATAATAACTCAAAAAATTTTCTTGGGTACAAATATAAAGTTCCAATATTTTAACTCAATGAAATGTGTAGATTTGAAGAATTTCCTTCTAAATATCCTTCCGCTACAAGAAATGGTCCCCATAAATCTTGTTTCTTTACAATTATTTGAGCAGTTTTAAAATTGAGTAATGTAAAATTTGCATCGTTTTATTCAAATATTTCATAAAAATTAAATTAAATTGTAATAAATAATTTGGAAGTTAGAGCTTCTGACCAAACTTTTCTCCAAAGCTTACGCGTAACATACCTTAAGTATATATTGTATTGTAACATAATGTATTCTTTTTTGGACTCTAGGAAAGATTGGATTATTAGATTTAGCCGCGAAAAAAGCAAAAGAATGTAGAGAGCAAAACATG